CTTGCATGACTTACTGCAGGCTGGAACAGATTATAGCTATTGATTGCTGCCTGGAGATGGATCTCGGTGTGGGGAGAGAGGTATGAAGCAAAGACAGCTCGTGAAACTATCGATTCCATCCAGCAGGGAGGCTGCACTTCAAAATGAAGGTCAGAACTCCTTTATCCCACCTATTAGAGCTCCCACAGCATTCATCAGTGCGCTCAAGAATCGCTGTGACGAGACCCGGCTCTGCAGTCTCAATCTTCTGCCTCTCTCGTGACAGTTGGTTACAGTGACTGACAGGAGAGCCCATTGTGACAAGTTAAATCCTGTGTTCTCCTCCAGACAAGGTAACTGGGACTGACTGCAAAAACCCTTCCAGTCAGGAACGATCTCTTCAAACCGTAGCGGCTGTGTCAAGAACAGCTGTAGTACGGGACTGCCACAAATTCGGAAGTATAACTCCTCGTTCTAGTAATGTAACCGCCATTACGAGCTTCAATCACTCTTCGTGCAGTTCCTGAATAGAAAAGATTCCATTCACAGATGTGCCTGAACCTGAGGCTTTGTGACTCTTTCAATAATTAAAAAAGTCCGTTGCGTGCTTGTGAAAGGTGAAAAAAAAAAAACGCACCTGAAACTTCAGTTCAAAGTGTAGTCACCGAGCAAATCACCTGTCCTGTTCGATCCTTACCCGTCTGAGTCTCAGGAGCTTGTTTTCTCATGACATCTCTTGTCATTACCCTTTCAGGTTTCAGCAGAAAGGGACTGACAAACACAATTTCTGTAGAATGGAACAAAGTTATCTGGAGATAAACTCAAGAGATAAATGTGCTTATTTTTACATGCATCTATTAGCATGAATGTGGTTTTGAGATTTTTAGTGCTTCTGGAGAGAAACCTGATGTCTTCAAGTGAAACCCACTGATGATTAAAGCATTATAATCCAACCTTTATGAGACTTTTTTACACCTCAGAGAAAGATGCTTTTCCTAAAGAAAATCACACTTGGGTGATGGTGCATGATAAACACCACTTAGTAAAGTGGAGCAGCATGTGTCTATATTGGTGTCGGCTCTGGGACCTGTGGAAAGATTTCTCTAATGTGATCACCAACTGGCTGGCTTCATGGCCATTTACATTTTCATGCATGACTGAGAAAGCAGCCACAACATGAAATTTCATAAGTCTAATGAGATCAGAAGAATATGAAATAAAACAGATGTTTTTGGTATTAATAATTTATGTAACATTATGTGCAATTTCAAAAGCACTGTAATGTTCTTTCTTCTAGCAGCTGTCCTGTCACATTAACTGATTCTAATGGTCCTACAATTCTATATGTTGTCTTTGTCTTTTTTTAGTTTTTGTTAATAAAACAATATGACAAACTATGTTAAAACTGTTGTGGCTTTTATGTACTCGGTGGAAAATGAAACCAAATTACCAAAAATTCTGAGGACCTTCATTATGAGGATGTTGTTGTCAAAATTGCGATGTAAAGTTAATCTAGAATGAGACATTTTGCAGCAGGAAAATCTTCCATTTCAAGTCTCCCAATTATCTCTGCAGTGCAGAAGGAGCACACACCCCTAACAAATCTTTTATTTGAATCCACAGGGCCATACAAGATCCTTTTCTTTACAAGGTCACTGTCTGAACAAAAAGAAAAGATACACTACATTTGCAAAAAAATACCAGTCAGCAGCTGTTCATCTAACAAATGGGTTTCTCTTCAGGAAGTACAATCCCAACAAATACACACACAAATGCTGATAGCCCTTGAGCCAAAATGTAATGTTTCAGCCTTGACAAATCTGCCTTTTTTTAAGTCTTCAATGTAGAAAAAACAAACCTAAATGACCTTTTTACTTGTAAAATGTGCTAAACACTACATACAATGTTATCATGTTCAAGGCACACACTTGAAGTACTAGTCGAGTCCACAAGTAGTTTCTTTCAAACACTGATGGAATGTCCAAAAATAATTTGAAGATGTCAAAAAATGAATGATTCACATTTGTCTGTAGTAGAGTCAGTGTTTTACTTAAATTACCAGGGTTTTATTTTCCACTTTCGCTCGTGATTGTGCAAGATGCACGAAAAGGTCTACTTTCCACCTGCTTCAAAAGCAGCTAACCAGGAAGATTAAATAAACTGAAAAAGATGAATAAATCCTTGGTATTTGTTATTACAAATACCCCTCTGTATACTTGTAAATGTTCCTTTCCTTACTCTTGTTGTATATAACAATTTTAACTACAATATAAAGTAACTCAGCTAATAGAATTTGACTCTTCCATTCATTCATGTTGCCGTTCTGTATGCAAGAAGACACATGTGAGTTACATGCATTTCTGCAAATTCTGCTCAAGTAGTTATTATTTAGGACTTACAAAATGTATTAAAAATGCATTAAAAATGTAAAGGTTTGGAAATGACAGATCATTCTTTTCCCTTTGTTTGGATGCACTGCCATTAGTGATTCCAAAGAACCAAAAATGTGATGTTCAGTGATCCTACAAATGGGGTATCTGAAATGCACAACTGACCATGAGGAGTGACTGCTGACCACAATAGCAGTGCAGGACAAACTACAGATCGTCATCCCTCCTCTTAAGGGCGCTCCGACCCTTTTGTATTTTAGTTGATTACGTGCACCTGCCTCCTGTATTGTCTGTTAATATTTAAGCCTGGGGCTCCTGCTATTCCTGGCTCAGCATTAGGAAATGGATTCCCCGGAAGCCCGCCTACCAGTGGGTCCAGGAGAGACCCAACAACATAAGCTTCATCACAGCATCCTAATTATCTGAGTCCGGGGCTCAGAGCACCTGGCCTCGTTACCCTGGTTTTTATTCCCTGTTCCGGATCACATTCCGGATTTTAACCATGTTTGTCTCCGATGAATCCCCCAGTTCCTGGACCCTGGGCTGAGCCACGGATTTTCCCTTTGGACTGTCTGGATTTGTTCACCACTTCCCCCCAAGCACCAGATCACCACCGCCACCACCCCCCCCGATCATCGGATCACCACCGTCATGCCCCCCGAGCACAGGATCACCGCCGTCACGCCCCCCTGTCTGTAGATCCTCTACATCTCTTCCCTGTTGTTCTTCTCCACCTTTTTCCGAATTATACCGTCTGCACAGGGTCCTGAACTACGCTTCACTGGAGCCTGGACCGGCTCTCGTTACAGTACTGCTTCTGGCTGCTTTAGACTACACCAGTAAGCATAGTGGGACTGCTGTACAATACATCAGAGAGGGAGTGTGGAACACAGTGGCCACTGTACAGTCTTCTCCAATGAATCAAGATTCATGCTGGACTGCCAAGCTGATTTTAGTAGGGTATGGTTCCATATAGGAGAAACACGATTAGAAATTATATGATCAAATTTACCTAGGCACGCAATGTCACTGGACATTTAGCCCACAATACTGTATATGTTCAAGACATTTTTGGGAGACCTCCAACATCAGCTACTCTACTGAACGAATAGATTTAAGGCCTGATTCTTCAAACTCAATGACACGTGCTAGGCTGAATCATTAGACTATGAGATGTTACTGCAATGCAGTTTATGGTCAACATGCCCATTATTAGGAAGATGTGAAAAGTAATGCTATCCCACTATAGAACATGAAACTCCAAGTACCACTGAAGCCAATTTAAGGAACCGAGAAGAGCCGACAAGGGTACCAACGAATTAAAAAACAATAAACAATGAAACAATGAAAGCAAAACCAAAAAAATACAACAGCAGAGGAAAATAACACAAGACCATTAGGCACGTATTTGGTGAGAAACACAAGGTATACAAATACTATGCACATATAATACATTTAGTAGACGCACTATTCTCTGTTAGCTTGTCGTTACGAAAAGGAATCTTATTTAATAACTGAAAACCATAATTCTTAGATTAATGAATGCTGAATGCATGTGAAATCTCACAAACATTCTCTCACAGTGTATGGCTAGTACTCCCTATATCTCTAACATGGCCCTGAAAACTGAGAGGTTCACATGGCCGCAGTCTGTTTCTGTTTGATTTGTAGTAGCTATTGCTTTTTCATTTCCTCTCTTTACAGTAGTGGGTTTTGTCATCATGCCAAAATAGAGTGTAGAGTGCAAAACTTGGGTTCTGCAGTGAGCAACCAAGCTTCAGGTCACCATGGCAACAAATCCTCAGCCATTGTCTTCTAGTCAGGCTGCATTTGCAGTACTAGATGGCTTTGTGGCTGATCAGATTTCTTCCACAACCTGCTAGCAACAGACCACAATCCTTCTCCCTTATTTCTACTTAATTGAGATGCAAATTAATCTCCATCGCTGATTGCACTCTCCTTAAACCGACTGACAAGTACAGCTGTAATCTGAGTTTACAGCGTGCTTTTATACGAACTGGTGCTTTGTCCCAGTTGTTTTGGGATGTATTCATTTATTTTTACAAGGCAAAAGGAGGCACTCTTGTATATTCCAAATAAAGGTACTTTAGATCACATCTCACTAACCCTGCGTCAGAAGTAGAGAACATTTTGATTAACGAAACAAATGTAAGATGGCAAGTGAATGATCTTAAATTTGGCATAATTGCCAAACCACTAAAGTATCAACGCCAGCATCAAACCATAAAAACTAATCACATGCTCCATGTGCTCATTAAACGCCATATGTCACATTCGTTTTAGCGGGATACTTTTTCAGTTAAATTTCCGGTCAGATGAAAAGCCTTCTGCAAAAATCTGAAGCAGACAGCTTGCACATGACGGAGGATGAAAATAACAAAGACAACCAAGGATTCTGATCAATGTTAATGGAAAAATAATTTTCAGTGCTATTGTTTCATGTAACAAAGACAAACAAGTTAGACAGGTTATGTACACCTATAACTAATGAACCTCTAATCTTGTGACTTGTAGAACAGCCTACAGCCATGAAGGGAATTCCAGAAAGAGTGAAATCTTACCTTAGCTTCCCCACTCGGAGGAAAGGCTTTATTTTATGTGAAAGGATACAAGCTCTGGTAGAGTGTTAGGCGGGATTTCACAGCTCTGCTGGCATTGATGCATGTGGCACGTACTAAACTTGGCAACAGGGTTCCTGTTACAATGGCTCCATCAAACAGAGGACCAAAGAAAGGGACCTGTGGAAGAAAAGAGGAAAAACTGTGAAGATAAACAAAGACGCACTGGGGTGGGGGATTGAAGGTTCACCAGTGGCTGGCTTTATAAAGGCGATACCACACTGTGCAAAGGAAATAATGGCATTTGGAGCTTCCCAGTTTGATTTCTAATCCCATCAATATGCCCATCTTGACTTGGAACACATAGGAACCACTATTTAGGCCTCTTGTCTCAGTCCTGAGGGCGAAAACAGAAGAAAAATAAACTTTTTCTACTGGTGAAAACATGGATCAAAAGTGTGGCAAACTAAACTCTACGCCATCACATGTTTTAGTGTAATTTCTAAGGCCCATAATCATGTGTAGTTTCTCACTTTATCACCTAGTCCTTACACACAGTAAGGGGAAAGATACAGTTTGATCTGGACAGGAGCTGTTCTAAAGAGTGGAGTAAAATTCAGCAGGCCATATCACATGCACATATTTAAGTAAAAATCTGATTTTGTGACATTATTCTTTTCAAAAGGAAGAAATATATTGAGCATTTAGAGACTGAAAACCCTTTAAGACTATAGTTTTTATTTTGAAAGACACTAGAATCACTAGAAAATTATCTGTGAGCCCTTGATATTATATGGGCTGAAAGAATGAAGCCCACTGGGAATACTGCATGTATGTGCAAACACACATTTATAGTCAATACATATGATGGGACAAATGAAGCAAACATAATTATCTCCGATAGAAAAGCTAAAGATCTGTTCCTCTGGATACCAATTTATTGAACAAATAAATGCAAACTGTGACTCGTCCATCACACAATTGCAACGGATGACTGTGACAGTCACTGAATGGCAAGACAAAACGAATAATAAACCCCTTGCACCCAGGGAATTCCTCTAATTAAAGGTGGCAGTGAATTGCAAAAAGGAATTCAAGTTTCATACAACATCTGACACTGGCAGCTGCCTACTGCAAACGGTTCATTTAGATGCCATTCCAGCATGCTCTGGCCAGAATAACTTGACTGCAACTGGCAGGTATGACAAAGCCAAAGCTACAAACTAATAACGGCCGGATGCTTTTCAACAAAATAAGAATTCTGCAAGTTATTCTTCTGATGAAAGCTTGAAATGCACCACCTGTAAGTATACTGTTCACAAAACACAGGGAAGAGATTGAACAACCCTTGCTCAATATGGCAATTCAATGTATTGAATTTGGTAAAAATGCAGTCATCCTGGTTATTATACGTTTCTTGTTTTCATGAAAAAATAAACATTCAAATGACCTGAATAAATCTACTTTTAATGAACAAATATTAATTCTTAGATACTTTATTATAAATATATTACCAAATTAATTATAAACCATTTATTCAAAAGTATTATAAATGTTTTAAGCACACTTTATTGTATTCGTTTTCATAAACTGTGGAACTGTCATTACATCATAAGACAAGCATAAAAATACACACATGGCAATGTTTTTAATAAATATACTGTATACAATTATCTTCTGTGTGGAAAACAATGAGGCACAAATGCTGCATTTTAACAACTGCTTATAATACGCAGCATCTTCCTAACATAACCGGGAACTTGATTCAATAAGGCCATATGACTATTGACCTGGAAACTGATAGAAATGACATTATGAGGCACCCTTCCAAGCTCAGAGCCTATCCCTAGTGCGTTTGAAAAATATCTTTATTAGACTGTGGCAGCAGGCCATTTCATGGTAATATTTTGTGTCCACTAAGCAATAGGCTAATTCTGACAGTCAAAAAGTAATGCATAATTTTAAACTAAATTAAATCTTAAATTATAAACTTGATTTAGCTGGATGAAAAATATGAGACGGAAGAACCTTTTTTTGTCCATCTTCCCTGCTAACAACAGAGAAGAGGATCTCATCCATTAGACATATCAACTTAAACGGCTTCAACAACTGCTTTTAATGTGGTTTAGATCTGTAACATTGTCGTTTTAAGATAATATGTTTCAATTTCATTTTATTTAGAAATCAAGTTTGTGTTTTTAAGAACTACTGAACCTTTAAAAAGATGTTTCTAAAGTGAAACAGTGTGAAGCCAATGTACTGTTAAGAAGCTTTACCAGATTCAAATAATCAGACACAAGAGCACATGGAAAATGAAACTCAACAAACTGCCTCAACCTGATTTGTTAGCGTCTAAAGCGATTTTTTTTCACAGTTTTCAAACAAAGGACTCAAAGTCCTTTGTAAACTTGCGGTGTTCACTTATTGCAGCGTGATGCTGAAAACAAAAGATTAACAGGTTTGTGTGTGATTTTTACAGAAGGGCTATTTTAAGAACACTCATCTTCAGCAGTCTGTTGAAAGATCGTACCTAATGGCACTGTATTATGTTCGGTTCACTGGTTTCAGTCTAATGACACGTCTGTGGACCACAGAAGCTGCCGTGTGTCCCGAGTGGTATGTGTTGAGCTTCTCAGCTGTATGACATTCTTTGTCCCATTTGGCAAGCAACTTTTTTTTTGTGCTTCATTGTCTGAAGTGTCCTCATACATCTGTGACGCGTGGAGAACATTCATACTGACAGACTTCTCATTGTTTCGGAAAAAAAAAAACGGTTTTGTCTGAGCAAAGACGCAGCCACAGTTCAGGATAATTACTTTGCTTAATTAATCAGGAGACACACTCACACACATGCATGCAGGGGAAAAAAATTGCTAATCAATGCTTGTTTGCCAAGCAGGAGGATCTAAATGACATTGTAAAAGGGCTTAGTATTGTAATGTCTATCTGCTCTGAAAAAGAATTTTAAAAAATGATATAATTTTAAGTGAAAGGCTAAATCCTTCTGGGTTAATGTTCACTCCAGGTGCCCTACTTCAAATGCAAAGAGAAAGTGCACAATTCTGTATTTAAGAGGCCATATGTTGCCATGGATTCTGTAACCTGATAGTAGAAACAGCCTTCTTACTTGCTTAGGGAATGCAATTTAAATACTGTGGATCACAGCCTCTGCACAAAGCAGGATCATATTTCATATTTTCTCTCCATAGTACAACGATAAATAAGAGGTTGCTCAGAAAAGATGTCTTTGCTTCATTTTAAAACAGTATTGATATCATATATATTTACATACTTAGATTTAGGATAATCTGAGAGAAGAAATTACTTTTATATACACTGTATACATTTGGGCTTCAGATAACAGTAATTTGGTAGCATTATTAAGCTTAAGGTACAGTTTAAATAGAAAGTACATTTTTTATTTAAAGTGGAGTTAAAAGTGGAGTAAAGGTTCTCCAGCACATAAAAAAAGGCACTGACTGGTCTAGTTCCAGGTTATCTTAAGGAACTATTCTACAGACATTATAATGACAGGCATTAAAAGTGCAACAAATGAATAAAGCAACCAATACTATGTTCAATGACATGTTGTGTTTTATCTTTTGTCTAGGACAACTCCTCTTTTTAAAAAAAATAAAATCTTATTTTCAATATAGACTAGATGGCACAGTTACCTAACCCCTGAAAGCCTGTTCCCAATTCCAGCTTTGGTGACTCATGAAAAGTGTATAGTTCACTCACAGTGACACAAGCAGGCATCACAAAAGGCACCAGATAATGTAGCACAATTCAGCTGTCAGGCCTGGCCAAGGCCCAGAGCAGAACAGCAGGGGGGAGTCTGGGAAGGGCCTGTGATTTGCTTACAGAACTATCAGTGAAAAGTCTAAGTGTGTACTCCACCTTCTTCTGTAGTGTTGTCTGTCTATCCCAAAGTTCATCACTATCACTGCATATTTCTGCAGAAACATCTTTCACATTCTTACGGGCACATGTACCACGGTTATTTTTCTCTTTGTTTACTAATATTAAACCTTTGTGATATAATTTATTTCTTTGTACAGAATTATTTTATATTAATACGTCATTTTGTAACATTAGCTTTACGGTATCAGTTTAAAGTTCATAATAGTCAATGAACACCAAACAGACATATTATTAATGATGTTCCAAACAGTAACAAAAATGTCACATACAGTGCCTCTAACCATAGGAAAGCCTTAAACCCATGGTTAGATTTATGTGACGTAAGTCTGGATTAAGACTTTGTTACTGCCAATCAATTAATTTACGGATCTATATTAATACTTTATAAATTCACTAACCATTAGTAAATGCTATATGCACCCTTTCATCTAAAACATTAACATCACTATACTATTCTGAAATTTGTATTGTGTGACTAAGCAATGGTAAACCAAAGAATTGTGATATGCAAATTCTAATTATTTTAATCGTTGAAATTCATTTGTTTTGAATTTTTGAGAAATAATTAAATATTATGAGGGTTATTAAGTTTAAAAATTAAATCATACAACCGTTATACCAGCATAGCAAGTATTTCCAGTACACACACAAAATAAGTTATTTAATAAGAAATAAAAATTTTAATTGAAATGTCTGCTTTAGATGCATTACATAAGCAATACTTATAAGGTAACATAACACAGCTACTGTATGAATGCATATTACTTACATTTTGAGGTTTTAAATGACTGAGTATTATTTTGGTCACACAATTATAAACTGGATACAAAATATTGAATTTGTTTTGAAACTGATGTAGAGTATATGACAAATAGGTAACCCTGAAAAAAGTCAAGGGCCACATAGTGCATTGTAGGTCTTCTTTATACAGTTTCTTGATGAGTCATCTGTCTTCTGGATCTGGGACCAGTAATGAGGTCAGGTTTTAAAAGCAGAAGACATTTCCTAATTGTAATTTATTTCATCTATATGGAGCGGTGTGAAGAACCGAACACCAATAGCAATTCTTGTTATTTTATTGCTTCTCAACATTTTATTTTAACCATATACCCTGGATAAAAAAGAAAAGAATCAGTATTGTATGTGTGTATTATCAGATGTCAATGTTGTTTAGTTATCCCTTATTATTTTGTATTGTGTTATCTTTAGGAAATGTTTATTTGTATCTAAAACACCTTACAATCTCATTTACAGCCTTTACATATTCTCCAAACCTAAGATTCTGTGTAAAAAAGTAAAGGATTTCTGCTTTATTTAAATGTTATTTAAATATCCCATAAACTAGGGAGGTCAGAGGATACCAGCATCCACATCTTAAAATACTGTAAGCTTAACCCTCAAAGAAGCTTTAAATATTAAAAAGAGCCTCTGGAGTCTGTCAGACAGATTCTGTTTTAAAAGATTTCTATTTTACCTACAGTATGCGCAGTGTGTCTGGCTAGAAGCAGGCTGCAAGACAGAGGATGCAGCAAGAAGACAGGGAGATGCTTTTGGCCAGAGGTTAGGCTGACAGCAGCACAAATACGATTTCACCGGTCGTAAGGCATCCATGGTGAGTGTGACCTCAGCACAGCCAACAGTGGGCTACAAAGATCTAAGTTTGTCTCTCACAGAACAATGAAGATTAAAGCCAGGAACCTACAGCTGAAAAAAAAAGTGCCAACTGTGTGGTCTTTAATGGATGAGCACCGCAGTAAAAGGTCTCACCGTCATGACCGCACTCCAGAGATGCTTGCACGGCTGAGAGACAGGGCCCCCAGAAAAAGCAATAAAAACAAAGAATTCTTAAAACGATTGGTCTAAAACTAAGATAAAATTTGGATTGTTTGATAAAGGTAAAATATTAAATAACTGAATTAAAGTCACAAATACCAGAAGAACAAGAATCACATGAGCACTACCAAATTAAAGACTGGCCATGCATAGATATGTAGATTATATTCTGTGTAGAAAGCTATTTTTCTTAAATGAGAGATTATACTAATGCTACTTCTCAAGCCTTCAGTGACAAGATTCTTGGTTCTGTAGTTGCCAAAAATTATCTGGTGTTTTTGATCTGCATTGTGCTAATCAAGCGGTAATTGTGTTTTGACAAACATTAATTTGTCATCAATATATGATGGTTAACAAAGCATATCTGCCAGTAATAATTTCATATTGTTATTTTGTAAGGAAGCATGTGTTAAACTTATGAAATAAAGCATAAATATGCCTAGAAATCCAAATATAAACTTAATAATGTATATTTAATATAAGTACCTATTATATATATATTTAATCTAAGTACTTGTTATTATACATATTTAATATGTTATTTTCCAGGGCAACCAGACATAAAAACACTTGAGGAAAGTTTTGTTGATGTATACTGATGATTCATAATTTATACTGTAGAAAATAACACTGCATATTTTATTTTACAATCTGTATTAATACAGTTATGAGACAAGTGCTGTGATGCTTGATATTCACCATGTTTAGAATTTTAAACTTCGAAAAAAATGTTACAATTTCAGCTTCAAGACATCAGCATATACCCCAGCAAAATGCAGATTCAATGCAGAATTACCACAAAAAAATTAGCCTACTTCCACTCCTCATATTTTAAATAATCCTGCTTATTAAATGAATGTCCCCGTTAGCTCAGTTCGCACGGAGATGGAAAAACTTTCATTTGGCTTCATGGCTTCATCTGAAGGAAGCATTATACTGTCCAACACGACTTCCACTGCGGTTAGACTGGGAAATGGACGATGAGGACAAAAGAACAACACATGCGAGACCACCACAAACCCCCTCAGTCAGAATGAGAAAATGGCATTTGGGTGTATTCCAATATCAATATTTTGTGCTTTTGATCACTCTGTTTTCAGATATTTCCAAATAGTTCCCAACTGTAATCTTAACAGCAAGAAATATTAGTACCTGATGGAGCAAGGGGAATTGTTGTGTTTCTTGTTTTTTGCATCACAGTAAGCATGTCAAGCCAAATATCACATGATGTGGGCATGAAATGAAGCATACTGTACACACCAGTATGCATTATCGATGATATGATTGAAGAAATACCAATAGCTAGTCAGTCACTTTTTTCTCTTATCGAGGTCATGCCACATCCTAGTAACCTACAATACATGGGAACACCTCTAGTTTTCAAACTCTGTTTTACTTTGTGTTTTATTTGAGTAATAACAGTAAGATTGCACATTATCCCTGGCTAATCTTCACTCGCATCACTGTGCTGGTTGATGTGCATGTACTATATACACTTTAGATAGGGATATTATTTGAAGTGATATTATTCGAAAATATTCGGAATACAATATAACAAGATATTATAATTAATAACAAAGTGCTGCTTGATATGACTAAATGAAACGATGAGGCTCCTTTTCGGTAAACTTAAGCCTAAGCATGATCAGCCAAAGTCTTTTGAGAGACATGTGGTCCAGGGCACCTCCCTGCCAATTTGTAGAGATGCAAAGGAACAAGTAATAGGTTTATTCCATGCTGAAAAAAAGAAGAAAGAGAACACAACGTTTCGGCCGTGGAGCCTTCTTCAGGTGTCCTGAAG